TATTCATGTTTATTAAATTCCTATATTATGTATTCAATTTGACAAAAAAGTATTTGAAGCTCAAAGAAGAATTGATGACACAAGTTCTGTTCCCAGTTCTGGGACCAGCTTTTGGTAAGCCACTCCCATTATCTAGTCTCAATTTCCTCATTAATATAATGGGTGCTAGAACTTGACCATATCTAAAGGTCTTTTTTTTTTTTCCTCCCATGGAGTTGCTGGTGGGTTCAAACCGCCAACCTTTCAGTTAGAAACTGAACTCTTTAAGGATTACATCACTAGGAAATGTTATGGGGCAGTTCTACTCTGTCCAATGAGGTTGTCATGAGTCGGAAGTGACTCGATGGCACACAACAACAATGACAAAGGTCTTTCTAGATCTGACGTTCTGTGATATCATAACATCAATTTCCCTATCAAAAGCAGGAGAAAGGAAACCACCAGCGACATGACTGTCTAATATATTTGTCAAATATATGTATTTCTAATATTTTATGCCACTTGTGAGAAGCCTTTTCATTCTCCTGATGGTGTCTTTTTGATAAACAAATGTTCTTAATTTTAATATAGTCCAATTTATCAAAGTTTTGCTGGAGATATAGACTGATACAACCACTTTGAAAAACTGTTTGGCAGTATCTACTAAAGCTACACCTATGTATTCTTCTAGGGACATACAAAATTGAAATGCATTCATATGTCCAACTAAGACACATAGTAGAATGTTCATATATATATATATATATATATATCCATTGTCATCAAGTGGATTCCGACTCATGGTGACCCTATAGGACAAAGTAGAACTGCCCTATAGTGTTTCCAAGGAGTGGCTGGTGGATTCAAACTGCCAACCTTTTGGTTCGCAGAGCAGTTCTTAACCATGAACCACGAGGGCTCCAGAAAGTTCATGAGAGCACTATTTTTAACAGTCAAAAACTGAAAACCACTCACATGCCCACTGTCATGGTTTGAATTATGTCCCCCAAAAAATGTGTGTATCAGTTTGGCTGGGCCATGATTCCTGGTACTGCGTGATTTTCTTATATATTGTAAATCCTGCCTCTATGATGTTAATGAGGGAAGATGGGTGGCAGTTGTGTCAGTAAGGCAGGACTGGATCTACAAGACTGGATTGTGTCCTGAGGCAATCTCTTGAGATATAAAAGACAGAAGTGATCAGAGAGACAGGGGGACCTCATACCATCAAGAAAGCAGTGCCGGGAGCAGAGCGCGTCCTTTAGACAGGGGTCCCTGTGCAGAAAATCTCCTAGTCCGGGAGAACACTGAAAAGAAGAAGGCCGACAGAGAGGAAGAAGCTTTCCCCTGGAGCTGATGCCCTGAATTTGGACTTTTAGCCTACTTTGACTGTGAGGAAATGAACTTCTCTTCGTTAAAAACCATCCACTTGTGGTATTTCTGTTATAGCAGCACTAGATGACTAAAACACCAACCATCAGCGAAATACATAAATAAAGTGCAGTATATTCACACAATGAAATATTATACACCAATGAGTAAGAATGATTTAAGATGGTATGCAGAAGTATGGAAGAAACTCACTAACAAATGGAAAGAAGCCAGACACAAGAAGACATATGTATTATTCCATCCAAATATAGTACAAAAGCAGGCAATATTTACCTGTGCTGTCAGGTGCCAGGACAGTGGTTTTCCTTGGGATAGAAGGGTAGTGAGTGGGAGGGAGACCAAGGAGCCTTTTGGGATTCTAGTAATATTCCATTTCTTGATCTGGACCCAGGGTGTTCATTGTAAGAAAATCACTGAGTACAGTTATGGTATATATAGTTCTCTATATGTATGTATATTATACTTCAATAACACATTTTTTAAAAGTGCTATCAAACACAGGAGCTTCATTTGAGCCTCATAACAACCTTCCGAGACTTTCAATTCAGGGACAATTATTATCAATTTACAGAAGAGGAAAATGAGATTTTTAAAATACAGTTCAATTCAATCCAACTACTGTTTTTAGACACCTAATGTATGCCAGGAAGAGAGGATGCAGTGAGCAGAAAGATATAAATAGTCCTCACAGTTCAAAAAAGTATGAAATACTTCACTCCCAGAGCGCATGGCTTAAAAGGATCAAAAAATTCTGGAGACAGAAGGGATCCTAGAAATCACCGTGACTCTCACTTTCTAGATAGGAAACTGAGGTCGAGAGCACAGACTTTGTAATGGCCCTGATTTGTGTTGGATTTCTAGGTTCAACTCAATCACTGGGTGACCTCAGGTAAGCTACTTAGAGTCTCTGTGCCTCAGCTCCCTTATCCCAAATGTAGCGATAAAAATATCTACCTCTGAGAGTGGCTCTGAGGATAAATTTCTAAAATCTGGGAACACGCCCTAGTGCACCATCCAGCAACCATTAGTTCTTATATAAGTTGATTTCCCTTCCCTTCGGGTGATTTGAGGTGAATGACTCAAGGTCCAGCACCCTTCCTTAGCATGTCTTTCTGCTGCTCTGAATATGTCCAAACATGATTTTAAGTGTTAGGTACACTGAGGGGTGTGATGGACATGCTGCACAGCCCTGTCGGCTTTCCAGGGAATGTGCCTGTGGAGCTTCTGAGCTTCATAACCTGCAGGTCTGGGTATCCTGTGACCCCAGCAGGGTGGCAGGCGCTCTCCTTGGTGTTGACGGCAGGGCTGCGAGAGCACAGATGAGTAATCCTTTCTGGTAGGAAAGCAGATACAGCCGCCTGGAAAGCACACGCTCAGGGAGGCTGAGTAGGGGAATGAGCGTAGATGAGCAAGGACCACTATCCTGGGCATGTGATCCAAGGTCTCGGGAATGTATCTGATTCAATCCACTGGCCGTCCTCACGTGCTGCAGCCCTCTGATCTGAGCCCTGGCAGCTGTCACCATGACCAATGGGTGACACCCAGCCCCTTGCTGACACTGTTCTTGTCTTTCACCCAGTGCTGTCCCTGTTGCCCACTGACACAAGGACGGCATATAGGTCTATGAGACTGCTTAGGGGACAAGCTAATCCTCCAAGATCCTACAACCTCCCACTTGTTAAGGAGAACAGTAAAACACTGCCCACTTCTCTGCAATAGTCCCTTCCTGCACCAGACATTCTCCTTGTCTTTAAAGGAGAGCCGTACTCTTCAGTACGTACATAGGGTTGCTATGAGTCGGAACTGATTCAGCAGCACCTAAGAACAACAACAATAACGTATTTTTCAGAGTTTATTCTCAATGAATGAGGAAGCTTCTTTATAACTGTTTAAAGCACCTTCATATGCGGTACCTCCTTTGATCCTCATGACAGCTCTCTGGAGGAGGAAGAGAATAGTATGACTCCCTTTTCATTGAAGAGGGTAATGAGGCTCATAGTGGTCTGCTGAATTGCCCAGAGTTGCATGGCAAATTAAGTGGCCATCAGAATTAGAACTTGAGTCTACTGAAACCCAGTCCATTGCCTTTCACTATGCTGACTCTATCCTCCACAGATATATTTCTACTGCTACCGTTTAGCAATCTGTTCTTCTCTGACAGTATCTGTGCCTTTCCTGCAGAAAAGCTATTAGCAAGGAGAAGTCTCACCTATCCTTGCTGTATTCCCTGAAATTAAGGAGAGAAGGTGCATGAGTCAAATTAACAACCTGAGGCAGCTTTGAGGATCATTTTGAGAGAGTCATCTCTAGCAAGCTACATCTAATATCCTCAGTCTGGAATAGTGTCCTTTCCCCTGTTTATACATTTACACTGTGTAAAGTAATCTATTTATGCATCTGTCTCTCTCCCTCAAACGTAAGATCCCTAAGTTCAGAAATCACGTCTTACTCATCCTTGTATTTCCTGGTGCCTGGCACATGGTAAACACCCAAATGTTTGACTGAATGTGTTTGACTATAGATTGATTATAGAGCAATGGAGTCAATGATATTGAGAGTCAAAAGGTACCTAGAGGTGGTGTACCCTGAGGCTTATTTATTGGGAGAAATCTGAAGCCTGGAGCGTGAAGAGGACATGTTCAAGGCCAAAAGGAACAAGATGCAGAAACAGGACATCTTCTCCACAGGCTGTTGCTCAGTTCTGTATTTTTACTATAGTGTTCAAGTTCTCAGTCCTTACAAATCTCCCTATCCTGTAGTATCCAAACACAATAAAGCATGCCCCAGTCTACATTACTGCCGGAAGTCTACTTCTGCAGTAGTGCCTCTGAGGATTCTGCAGAAATCTTTACATATTTTGTTATCCAGACTCTGGCTTCAACTGGCTCTTTGACTCACCTTCGTCAGCCTCACAGTCACATTGGTGAGTGTTGTGGATTGAATTGTGTCCCCCATACATGTGTGTCAACTTGGGTAGGCCATGATTCCCAGTTTTGTGTGATTGTCCACCATTTTGTGATTATCCTATGTGTTGTAAATCCTAACCTCTAAGATGTTAATGAAGTAGAATTAGAGTCAATTATGATAATGAGGCAGGACTCAATCTACAGGATTAGGTTGCATTTTGTGTCAATCTCTTTTGAGATACAAAAGAGAGAAACGAGCAGAGAGGAGAGGGACCTCATACTACCAAGCAAGGAGAACCAGGAGTGAGTGTGTCCTTTGGACCCAGGGTTCCTGCACTGAGAAGCTCCTAGACCAGGGGAAGATTGATGACAATGAACTTTCCCCAGAGCTGACAGAAGGAAAAAGCCTTCCCCTAGAGTTGGCACCCTGAATTTGGACTTCCAGCCTCCTAAACTGTGAGAGAGTAAATTTCTCTTGTTAAAGCCATTCGCTTGTGGTATTTCTGTTACAGCAGCTCTAGATGACTAAGACAGTGGGCTATTTATCCTCTCCCTTTAGGGATTCCAGTAGTCACAGGCATACCTCTTCTGCTACTCCCCAAGCACTGAACATTAGGTTCAAAAACATTTACCAAAGACAGGAAGGTAGTATAAGGAAATTGCAAAACCAGAACAGGAAAATGAAATATTGGATCCTGAACAAAAATGCTTCCTACTGCCTACCTGCCAAATCACATCAGAAAGGTCTAGGGCTGCTTGTGTCCCTCTCTGCAGCTCCTGGCCTTCCACCACACTGCTAGGGCCTACTTTTCAGATCATACATGATTCTGCTGGGTTCTTCCCTGAGTACCAGTTCCTTATGCCCAACTCTGGTCTTCAGTCCTACAAGAGAATATCGAAAAGAAAGTTTTAATGTAGAAAATAAAAATCTCTTGAGAAGATATAGCCCACTCCCCACCCCGAAACAGCTTTTTTTCATTATTAAACAGAATTTGTCACAGAACGATTTGTCAAAATTTGTCTGAGGTATTTGGATCCATATTGTCTCACTAGCACCGGCTCCCCCAAAGCCAAAGAGTATGTGCATAACCAGAAAATTCCACAGAGTGGAATCTCCCAGAAAACAGAGTAGTATACCTCAAAAAAAAAAAAAGAAAAAGAAAAAAATTCTCACTTTCTTATTTAACCTGGAGGTGGGGGGAGGGGGGTGCAGAATTCATGCTGAGTTTAGAATACTCATTTCTTCCAGTTTCCATCAATCAAAGATTCAGATGTCCAGCCCCAGAGCACTTTTCCCAGAACTTGGTATCTATGATCAGGTAGAGATAGCTGATAGTACATATTTATGATCCATGCGTATTACTAATAATAATTAGCATTTATTGATGGGCTGTATATGCCAGGGACTGTGCTTAACATGTTACCTGCATTCTCATACTTAATCCACCCAAAATCCTGTGAAAAGTCACAGAGATGCATTATGGGTGTGGTTGAAGGTGCGGCTGGGTCAGTGTCCAAATTCTACCACTCATCCCTCTTCTTAACAGAGTTCCTAGCCAAAGAGCGTATTCACAAAAGAATCAGAAGCCAAATAGGAAAGAAAATGCTGATATTATTAATGTCTGGGAAATTCCACAAAGGACAACTCTTATGAAACAGGATTGGAGAACACACCCTAGGCCTGAGGCTTAAGAGAGTGAGGGTTGGTTAGGTTGTGCAGACCCAGTCTTCAGCTTAAGTAGAGGCTACAACAAAGCACTTGAGTGTGGTCGGCTTCCTAAAGGGAGGTCAGGAGTAGACAAGAGGATCATGAAATCTAACTTTAAGATACCCTCACTATGCCAATGAAATTCTCTGGTTTAGATCAATTAGATTAACAATTCCAGTGAGGTCACGTGGACAGAGGAGTGCGATGTAAGGGAGGAGGTGGAGTAGTCCCTCACTACGGGTCAAGGCAACTTAGTGAATACAGAGAATACGGAGGCATGCTTGTGTCCCTCTTCTCCACTTTCCAGGGGAGGAAACTAAGGCTTCCTGACGTTGAATACCTTGCCCGCAATCACATGGTTAGAAAGTGGTACTCGAATTCAGGCTCTCTGGCTCCAAATTTCCAACTCTTACACCTGCTAAATGGTGCCCCTTGTTTCACTGACTCTTGATATCTCCGAAAATATAGGACCTCAGCCCTTTGCAAAGTTCTCTCCCACCATTTCCAGGAACCTCCAAGGAATATCCCCCATTTGTGTTTATGAACTTGTTTTGCCTTCATCACATAGGATCTTTCACGCCTTTTCTTTCCTGTTCCAGCATCTTTGAAGATGTTACTACCTGTGAAGCTGTTAATATATTCTTTTTCACTGTCTTTGAGACCTATTGGGTTTCCCTGGGAACCGTCTTTACCTCCACTACCATCTATACACCATAGGCCTCAAGGAACCCAAGGAGTAACATTAGAATCTGGAGTCCTCTTGTACTGAATTCAAGTTGGCTTCTATGCAGAAGTAGGGAAAATTTTTCTTTACTACTTCTTTTATGTAGGTTCCAAGGAAGTGCCATGGTGTCTCCAAGGGTTTTAGAGAAAACAGTTCTTTCAGTTTCTGTTTGTAGAGTCACCCATTGCCTATGGGGCTAGTCTGGATGACCATGAGGGAGGCTACTCAGCCATCCCCTGCCATTTTAGTGTATGACATTTTGAACCAAATGCCCTTGCAAATTTATTTCTGGTGTCCACCCCCACGTTTTCAAGATCCTTAAAGGCATTTCTGCATCTCAAGGACAAACCAGCTTTAATTAAGCCTGGGAGCCTTATTAAATGTTGAAAATTGTTCCATTAGTCTTTAGAGAGAGCGAACATGTTCCTCATTAGTAATATGTGAGAGAGGGGAAAACAAACATGAAGACACTATGTTGTCACTGGCCCGACCAGTGCTGCCAGGTCTCCTACACATCACGCATGGGAGCATGTAAAGCAAGCATGAGCAATAGCACATCTCTTGAATATTTATATAGAATTAGTCTTCTTTCTAGATTCCCCTACTGATCACTTCTCTCTGGTTTCTAATCATCTGGCTGTATCCTCCATCCTTATAATGCTAAATATTTCAGGGTATGCCACTGGATATCTAGACCTTCATACTTCCCCAAACACACACAATTCACCCTCACCTCTGTAGTCATCTATACTTACGAATTAGTGACCTTTCTATCAGTTTTGCGGTCCCTGTGTAGTGTTAACGTGCTCAGCTGCTACCCAAAAGATTGGAAGTTTGAGTCCACCAAGAGGTGCCTTTGGAGAAAGGCCTGGCAATCTACTTCCAAAAACTTGGCCATTGAAAACTCTATGGAGAACACTTGTACTCTGACACACATGAGGTCACCATGAGTTGGCATCTCCTCAACATCAACTGATTTTTGGGTCTATCAGTTTTGGCTTCTCGAAATGGACCCAATCCCTTCACAATCAACCAAGGCAAATGAACATACTCAGTTTGGCCCGATTCCTGGCCTCCTTTATCTCATTCTGTCTGTGACTCTTTTTTTTAAAGAATCTTAAAATATGTAATTTATTTAATAGAGATTAACAAAGTGTAGTTTTTGAAAAATTAAGAGGTAGCGTTTCAGTTTAAAAATAATTTAGTCCAAATTAAAATACATCATTGGATAAGTTAGAGCTCATAAATAGACTTCAAATGTTTAAATAATCCAGTCTGTAACTGCTCACTGATGCAAAACGACACAGATTTCTGAAATCTCAGAACACCACTACTTAGAAAAAGAGGGGTTTATTTAATAATTCCTTTAAACTCTCTTACTGAGCACCTACTATGTGCAAGTTCCCACCATGTAATGTGATAGTGAGCCTATGGGTCTGGGTAAGACACAGTTCTTCAAAGGGTGGTGGTGTTAGTTGTCACTGTGTTGGCTCCAACAACAAAACGTTGCCTGATCCTCTGCCATCTTCTTGATCATTGGGAAGTTGGAGTCCATTGTTGTAACCACTGCGTATTTTGAATACCTTCTAATCTAGGGTTGCTATCAGTCAAAATCAACCCGATGTCAATGGGTTTGGTTTTAGTTTTCTAATCTAGGGAGCTCATCAACTGAATGTGAAAGGAACAAAGAAAGTGGCTGAGATTCTACTTGAACAGCCCAGGATCCATGCCGACATGCACAATTCTGTGGAGTAAGTGTTTATATTGAATAACATCTCTTTCTTGTTTTATTTTTATATAGCTCATTTTAGCTCACTGCAGAAAATTGGGAAAATATTGAAGAAAATAAAATTAATTTACAATTCCACAATTAGGAATGTTGTTGTTATGAAGTGCCATCTAGTCGGTTTCAACTCATAGTGACCCTACATACAATAGAACAAAACTCTGCCTGGTCCTGTGCCACCCTCACAAGCGTTGCTATGTTTGAGCCCATTGTTACAGTCACTGTGTCAGTCCATCTCGTTGAGGGTCTTTCTCTCTTTCACTGACCCTTCACTTTATCAAGCATGACGTCCTTCTCCAGGAACTGGTCCCTTCTAATTAGGAACATAGCAGTTTACATTTTTGTCTATTTATTTCCAGGATTATTTTTTTCTGTGTTTTTTTTTTTTTGTGTGTGTGTGTGTGTGTGTATGTAATTCATTACTGCAGGATTAAAATATTAAAGCATATTTAATAGTGTCCTTAACTTAATATTCTATCATAAGCATTTTCCCATACATGTTAATTATTATCTTAGTCATTGTTTAGAAAAATAACCTTAATTGTTCTTATGTAGTAAAGATTTACTAAATCAAGTTCTAAAAACAAGCAAAAAAGGAAACATATCATGACATGAGGAAGAAAACAAAATTCACCTATAATACCACCTCTAAGAGATAAGCACTGATGAGTAGCCTTCTGGCATAATGCACGTATCGTATTTTTACGCAAATAACTCTCACCTTCTATGTTTGTTTGCCTACTGTGCCTTCTCCCATGAGGTATTTTCGTAAGTGCACTACGTAACTTTTTACAGCAATATGTAAAAAAGAAAAAATGGCTTAGTGATACAAAAATACCTCTGGGGGGAGGGCATGGTTGGCAAACAAACGTAGAAGTCATGCATTATTTGTGTAAAAATACGGTAAGTGGATTTTAAAAATTGAGGCATGCTATATAAAATGTCTAGAACTTTTTTTTTGCTTAGCAACTTATTGTAAACATTTTATTTTGCTTGTGATGAAGATCATTTAGAAGTTTTTAAAAGTATTGCGTAATATTACATCACATAGTTATACCATTAATTTATTCATGCCTGCCTATAACTATAGCAATTTATTCATGATTCAGAGCCAAGACTAAACTCAAAGGCAGAATTTTCTTTTTAATACTTTCGTTAGAAGTCAAGACAGAAAGGTAGTAACCAAGCATGAAAAATTAGAAGGTAGAAAGGCACCAGTGAAATGAACCTATGAAAAAAAGTTGGACTCAAATATACCAACAATCGTGAAGATGTTGCAGGACAGGGCAACATTTCATTCTGTTATACATAAGGTCACCATGAGTCGGAGCCGACTTGATTGCAGCTAATGACAACAACAAAGAAAAAAAGTAGTAGAAAGGAGGAAATAAAGTTGAAACTAGATACTAATAGATCGGAAAACAGAGAAAAAAATAGACTTGACAGTAGAGTTGGTAACATTGCTCTTTGAAACTAACAATAACTTCTGATCTTTAAACTTAAACTGTGTGGATTCTCATCCCAGCTTCCCTGACAATGACTGGGTGGACATATTTGGTCTGGCCTAATCCCAGCCTCACTTAGCTTACTCTATCTCAGTCAATTTTTTAATCCACAAATATGCAACTCATTTAATAGATACTAAATAATTATAGTGAGTTTTG